CCAGGCTTGAAAAGGTCAGCATTCTGAAATTCAGCTGGAGACAACGGTCCCCAAAAGTGGGAGTGTTGGAACCCCCTAAAGAAACTGACTCGCCAAGGAGACCTTGGGTGGTTTCACTGTCCGGTCCTAATTCTTGGGGGTGAAATCTATTTTCTGTACTGCCAGGCTGTTTTCTAGCCACTGTCCTACAGACGGGGGGAGTCCAACTCTTGGGTCTGTGATGTCTGGGGGTTGCTGTTGGGCATGTACCATTTAACTCTGCCTTTAGGAATAACCCTATCCCTTCCCCTCGCCTCGCCATCTAGCACCGCTCTTGTTGTCTGCCACAATCCTGCACCTCCCGAAGGAGCAGAGGCAGGATCGCCTAGTGGTTAGGTTACAGTCAGGCGAGCTGGAGTCATAGAACCATAGAGCTGGAAGAGACCTCAGGAGGTCATCAAGTCCAGCCCCCTGCCCTAGGCAGGACCAATTCCAACTAAATCAACCCAGTCAGGGCTTTGTCAAGCCAAGACTTAAACACCTTTATGGAGATTCCACCCCCTCCCCAGGGAACCCATCCCAGTGCTCCATCACTCTCCTAGTGAAATAGTTTTTCCTAATATCCAACGTGGACCTCTCCCACCACAACTTGAGCCCATTGCTCCTTGTTCTGCCATCACTGAGAACAGCCTCTCTCCATCCTCTTTGGAACCTCCCTTCAGGAAGTTGCAGGCTGCTCTCAAATCCCCCCTCGCTCTTCCCTTCTGCAGACTAAACAGACCCAACTCCCTCAGCCTCTCCTCATAGGTCATATGCTCCAGCCCCCTCATCATTTTGGTTGCCCTCCGCTGGACCCTCTCCAATGTGTCCACATCCTTTTTGGAGTGGGGGGCCCAGAACTGTTCACAATACTCCAGATGTGAGTCAATTGCTTGCTTTGCCACCACCTCCCTTGGGCAAGTATGACGTCCCGTGCCTCAGTTTCCCATCTGTACAACAGCACTGCCTCCGGTGTGTGTGTGTGTGTGTGGGGGGAGGAAGGGTAACAAGGTGCTTGGGTGCTTGTTAACGGTTCTAAATCCTGCTGGAAAGGGATAACAAGTGGAGTTCCTCAAGGGTCTGTTTTGGGACCCGTACTGTTCAATATCTTCATCAATGATGTAGATATTGGGATAGAGAGTACGCTTATTAAGTTTGCAGATGATACCAAACTGGGTGGGGTTGCGACTTCTTTGGAGGATAGGGACATAATTCAAAATGACCTTAGCAAGTTAGAGAAATGGTCAGAGGGAAACAGGATGAGGTTTAATAAAGAGAAATGCAAAGGGCTCCACTTAGGAAGGAACAATCAGTTCCATACATACAAGATGGGAAGCGACTGTCTAGGAAGGAGCATGGCAGAAAGGGATCTAGGGGTCATAGTGGACCACAAGTTAAATATGAGTCAGCAGTGTGATGCTGTTGCAAAACAAGCAAATATGATTCTAGGTTGTATCAACAGGTGTGTTGTAAGCAAAACTCGTGAAGTCATTCTGCCGCTCTACTCTGCACTAGTTAGGCCTCAGCTGGAGTACTGTGTCCAGTTCTGGGCGCCACATTTCAAGAAAGATGTGGAGAAATTGGAAAGGGTACAGAGAAGAGCAACAAGAATGATTAAAGGTTTAGAGACCATGACCTATGAAGCCAGGCTTCATGAACTGGGCTTGTTTAGTTTGGAAAAAAGAAGATTAAGGGGGGACATGCTAGCGGTTTTCAAATATCTAAAAGGGCGTCACAAGGAGGAAGGAGAAAATTTGTTCCTCTTGGTTTCTGAGGACAGGACAAGGAGTAATGGGCTTAAAGTGCAGCAGGGGAGGTTTAGATTGGACATTAGGAAAAAATTCCTAACTGTCAGGGTGGTCAAATATTGGAATAAATTGCCAAGGGAGGTGGTGGAATCTCCCTCTCTGGAGATATTTAAGAACAGGTTGGATAGACATCTGTCAGGGATGGTGTAGACGGAGCTTGGTCCTGCCTTAAGGGCAGGGGGCTGGACTCGATGACCTCTCGAGGTCCCTTCCAGTCCTATGATTCTATGATATAATGACGGAGTCCATACAAGTTCCCAAGAATTCTTCAAGCAGCGGCACGCCGGTTCCTAATAGCACGCCGGTGCCAGCGGGCGGTCGGGTGCCGGGAGCCAGCCCCAAGGAACCTGCCCCCAAAGGCATCGTCCGGGGTACCGCTCCGTCGGCTGGGGTAGGATCCGCCCCGCAGAGAAGCGCCTTTCTCCCGGCGGGGTTGGCGTCCCCGTGCGCTCTCGCGAACATCGTTGCGCAAGCAGCGCGAGTCCTGGCGCTCCAGGCAGGTCTTTGTGTCGGGGGTTTTCTTCTCCCCCTTGGATGCGATTCCTGCCAGCTCCCGGGAGCGAGCAGCAAGGTCCGTGGCTCCTCCCCGCCGCCTCTCTCACGCCCCTGCCCTGCCCAGCCCGTGAAACCCAATAACCGAGCGCATCCAGCCATGCGTCCCCGTCACTGGTTGCATCCAGGCAGGGCAGGGAACCCAGCCTGCGCCGGCTCCGAGGCGCCCCGCCCCGGCGGTGCAGCCTGCTGAGCTCGGAGCGAGACGCCCTGCGCGGCGGCAGCTGGGGCCAGGATGGACCGGCTGCTCTTCTGGTGCGCTTTCCTCTCCTCCGCCCCGCTCCCGGCGGCCTCCCCGGAGCCGGGGGCGGCGCCCGCGTGCCCACCGCGGTGCCACTGTGACGAGGACGGCATCTTGCTCTCGGTGGATTGCTCCGAGCTGGGGCTGTCCGCGGTCCCCGCCAGCTTGAGCCCCTACACCGCTTACCTGTAAGTACCCCGCTGCGCCTTGCTTAGCAGGGCCAGTGCGCCCTGCGCGCGCGAGGATCGACCCCGCCGCCCCAGAATCAGCTGCAACTTGGGCTCAGGAGGTGGGAGTGGGGGTTGGAGTGGGGGGGACGGGGACGCTTCGCTGCTATGAAGTTCCCACTGCAAATTAGGACCAAGCAAACAGCGACCCGCAGAGCCAACTCCGCTCCCGCCTGTGCCCCTGCACACAATGCTGGGTGTGCGGGGCTGTTCCGCATGCTTTGCCGCTTGATTGCCAGGCAGATTCTGATTGTCTGAGCGCATAATGGAGTAGTTATCCGGAGCAATTACGGCCAACCGTCCCGGGCCCCTTCTGTCAAACATTTCAATAGCCGGGATCACCCGGGGCTTTGGGGAGTTCCGTTTGGGTTGGCCACCGGCAGCGCATGCGGAAGTTGCACCAGGGGGTCTGGTTGATAGATCTTGCCCCGCGGAACCCAAAGGGGTTCAACTGAAAGAAGATTGTGCAGGGCTGATATCTAGCACCGCAGATAGCTCCTTGAGAACTCCCCCGGGGCACCTGTCCGCGTCCCCCCGGGGCACCTGTCCGCGTCCCCCCGGGGCACCTGTCCGCCTCTCCCTGAGACAGGCCGGTTTTGGCACTCCCTGGGAAAGGGGCTTTGTAGCTATCTCTGCAACAGGTTTTGCTGTGCTGGGGCTAGGATGGGGAAGACGCTTGGCTTTTGACTGTAGGGACGGAGCTGAAGGCTGCCAGAGAAATCCGTTCAGTCTAAGAACTGAGTTGTCTCTGGCAAGCAGCAGTGGGTTATGCAGAGCAGCTCGGTCAATGCAGGGGCAGTCTTGCCTAATGCCTGGAACAACAGGCTTTGGAAGGAGGCAGGAGCTCCGGCTTTTATTCCAGACTGCACCACTGCTTTCCTCAGGCAGGTTGCTGCCTCAGTTTCCCCCTCTGAAACGGGGATCAAGACACGGGCTGTCTGCAAAGTGCTCGCCAGCCCTGGATGAAGGAGCTGCAGAGGTGCATAGTCTTGCCCAAGTGGCCAAGCTGGCATCTAGCCCTCCCGGTGTGGCGTCTGTCTCTTTCCCCGGCAGGCAGGTGGCGAGGGCTGCGTAGGATCCCGCTCGGAATGGCCGCTTTTCATCCGGGAGGGGGAAATCCAAGGGAGCTGCCTAGTGCAAGAGGCATGTGCCTTTGGGGGGGCTGTGGCATAACCGGGGTGTCTCAGACAGAAGCATTTCTCCCTGAGTTGTGGCCAGTCCTGGGTCTGTCGGGATGATGAGCCAAGGAGGCTGCAATGCCATTGCGATGGCAAAGTAAAGCCCCGTCGGGGACCCGTTCCGCCTTTCAATTCATTTCAGGACTTGTGCATTCTTCTGCTCCAGCCCTGTAAGGACCAGGCTGGCCCTCGCACGCGCCGCGCTGGCCCTCGCACGCGCCGCGCTGGCCCTCGCACGTGCCACGCTGGCCCTCGCACACACTGGCCCTTGCACGCGCCGTGCTGGTCCTCGCACGCGCCGCACCCAGGTCACTCAGTTTGCTAAGATTATTCTAATAGGATTGTCAGGCTATTCAAAACTCCTTAGCTATGTTAATCAGCCTCGGTATGCAGGTCCCTGGGGCAGGATTCTGCCAACCAGGCAGGCGCTGGCAGTGGGCATGCCCATGCTGCGGCTGTTGGCAGTGGGGTGAGGAGTGCCGTCGGTGAAGTGTTTGTAAAGACCTTTTAGGCCTGATGTTCAAGGCCGGTGGGTCTACCGCAGGCCCAGCAGGTGGCTCCGCACCTCTGCAAAACAGTCTGTTTCTGGTGGAGATGAGTCCCCTGACAGTCGGAGTCGGGTTGTTTTCCAGCTGTGTCCGTCAATTTCTGCCATGCCCATCCCCCGGTGTCCTTGCCTCTGGGCAGCGTGCCCCAGCTGGTTCGCCCTTGCGAGGGAGATTTCGCCGACACGCACGTTAACCCACTTCACTCGTGTGGTGGCGCCATTGTCAGCTGTTTGGAGGAAGCGCCAGGAGGGGCGCTGATCCCTCGGCTGGAGACGCCTGTCCGGGGGAGCTGTCCGAGTGGAAAAAATCCCAGGCCCCATCCGGCCAGGGGCTAGCGTCTGGCCCCTTTGCGCCGCCCCGCGGACGCGGGACGTTGCCGGCAAGCTGGCTGCCAATTGCAAAGCCTCCCCCTGTAAATTAACTCCTGAAACCTTGTAAGGTAAGGCTGGGAGATGCCACGGGGCTTGTGGTTACCGCCAGGGAGCAGGGGGCTGGGTTTCATCTCGTTTGCGTGGCCACATGCGGTGGACCCAAGTGTGCGGTGTTTGGCACCTGACAGATGTCCTCCCCGAAGGCTGAGCCCCGTCTGGTGGCAGCGCCCAGATCCCCTAGCAAAGGCCCCAGGCCCACCCCTTGGGGCAATCGTCACACTGCACCCAGCCTGGGTATGGGGGGCAGGAATCAGCCTGGGCCTTTTTGTGCCTCAGTTTCCCTGCCTGTACAACAAGACTAACTCTACTCCCCTCTGCAGAGCCTTTGCCTGCCCTAGAGGAAGGGGGCTAGGACAAGGCTGAGGGTTTTTACTCGTCACGCACTGCACTCAGGAGCAGAGGCCTGGTGAGACGTGGGACGACCAAGGCTGATTCCTGCCCCCGTACCCAGAATGCTGCCTCTCGAAGGTGATCAAAGCCGGGCCTGGGAGTCGGTGCCGCCAGCCCACTGTGGCCTCTTTGTGTCGCTCCCCCTGCGCCGTCTCTGGCAGCATCTTTCCCCTGGGGCGCACGGTCCTGTTCCTGGCTGGTGGCAGAGGTGTGATGGGCGGACAGGCTCAGTCTGCAGCTGGAGTTGCCCTGGAGCTGAGGCAGAGGGGAAAGCTGTCATGGTGGGGCCAGCCCCCCGGGTCTCTGCCCTAGGTCCCTGCAGAAAGGCAGTGCCCCGGCGCCGGTCTGTGGGGGTAGAGTAGAGCCTGCAAAGTCTGAGCGCAGGCCCCCTGGGGACGGCTATTCCGCTCAGGGCTCTGTCGGTGCCCCTGCAAGAAAGGGGAGCCTTCCCCCCGCCGCACCTCCGTGGGCTCAGCCCTGCCCCCCGAGCTCAGGGGCCCACGGGCCCCTTTGGCCCCCGGCGCAGGCTCTGCGGGGACGGGGCAGGAGGTTCCCGGATGAGCTCTCAGCTGGCTTAGAGATTCCGAGCCGGCGGCTGGAATGTCACAGCCCCGCTGGGAATGTGACGCTCCGGTGCCACCTGTACCGCCCTCTCCCGCCCTCAGGAGCGCTCCCCGAGGTTCTCCCGGGCCCCGCGCTGCAGATGCTGCTGCCCAGACCGCGGGGAGCCCCCTTGCCTGAATTTGCATCCCCCACCCCTGCCCATTTCCTCCGCCATCTGGGCTGCCCGGCGCTGGCCAGGCACAGAGCTGGGCACGGGGACGGGCAGTTCTCACAGCTGCTCAGCTCAGGCAAATGCTCCATCCGGCCTGGCCAGGGTGACGGGTCAGAAACGCTGCCAATGCTGCCTTTGCCCTCATGCCACTGAGCAAAGTGGGGCGGGGGGGGGGGGGTGCCCTCATGGAGGCCTGGTCCACCCGTACCCTCCCGTGGCCCAGGGCGTGGCTCGTTATTATGCTTCAGTCATTGGATGGGGGGTAGATTCCTCCCCCAAGGCTGAGCCCCGTCTGCTGGCAGCTCCCAGCTCCCCTGGCAAAGGCCCTGGGCCCACCCCTTGGGGGCAATCGTCACACTGCACCCAGCCTGGCGCCTCCCCTGGCTCAGCCGTGTGACCTTCCCTAACTCCTCATCCCTGTGCTGCAGCAGCCCCGCTGCGGTGACCTGCCCCCTCCAGGGCCCTCTCCTGCCCCGTCTCTCGCCCCCCAAGCCGGCTCCTCCAGCCGGGTGCCCGTGTAGCAGGGTCCAGCCAGGCCTGGGGAGCCTCACAGAACGGCCGGTCGTTTTTAGCCAGTTCCCAGAACAGTTCCCCAGTGGCTGGGCCGTGGCCCTCGCTGCCCTGGTCCGTGGAAGGGACACAGGTAGGAGTCAGGCCCAGCCCCTACCCTCTCGAGGGCACACGCCTGCCAGCTGCAGGTGGCGGGAAGAGCCCAGACTTGGACAGCCACGCCCACCTTGCTGCCCAGCGGGGATTGCGGCCGTGCGGACGGGGGGTGGCGCAGCAGCGCTGTGGTGGCCTCTAGCCAGCCACCCCAACAGGCTGCATTCACCGTGGTGGTGGAATCGGGACCAGAAAATTGGTGTTTGATTCTAGCTCCCCTCCCCCCCCAACAGCCCACATGGCGCCTGCTTCTACGTCCACTGGACCCCCCGAGACACGCTAACATGCCTGCCAGAGGTGGTTCCTATGTTGGAGGGTTGGGGGGGGGAGGCCGGCCCATAGCCCGTGGGGGGATAGGACGTTAGTTTCTGCTGTGCCACAAATTCCCCCTGTGACCTTGGTCATGTCATCGCGTCTCTGGCCCAGCTTCACCAAGTCTTTAAATGGCTTGAGGGTCTGTGCAGTGGGGCTCCGAGTGCCGGGAGGCTGAACCCGGTACAGCTCAGAGGCGCTCCGTCGGAAGCGCGAGGTGAGAGGGAGGGGAGGGCTGTGTAGGACTCTCTCCATCTCGGGCTCAATTGTTTGGAGTCTTCTGCCCGTTATGCCCTGGAGCGTCCCTGGAGGAGCAGACTTCTAGGGGCTTGAGACAAGCCCAAGTCGCAGGCGTTGGGTAGGAACCTCCCGTGGGAGCAGGTGATTCCAGCCTTGCCCACAACGGGGTCTTCTGCACCCTCCTGTGCTGAGACTGGCCACTGTCTATGGGAGGAGAGCGGACCGAGCGGGTTTGTGGCATTGTCCTTGTGTTCTGGGATCAGCGACTAGAGCTGAGCAAATCATTTACCCCTGGCCAGCTGGCCCCCCGGCATTCGTACATTTCCCCAGCTGGCCTGCAGATCACAGATCTCCCTCACCCGCGCTGTCGGAGGTCATGAGGCATCGCTCCTATGCCCGGGGAGGACCCTGTGCTTACTCGCCG